CAATATTATGTATTAATAATATTATGGAAGTGATCCCTTATGGACATTTGCAGGATTACCAGAGAATAGAGGACAAGATCCTGAAGCAGTTAGAGAGAAATCAAAAAGACACCCTGAAGGAGGCTACTGAGTATTATACAGGTCCATATTACTTTCCCTGAGCCTTTGTTTTGCTAGTGGCCTTTTTGATGGGATGGGACTTTTATTTTGGCTTGCTTCCCTCAGATTAGAGATGCCACATCGAATCATTATATAAGTAAATCTTGTATCTCAGTACAATACTGTGCTGCAGCTTAAGGGCTGGTGGTTTAATATTTAAGTGCTCAGCTGGAACAGAAACACGGCACTGTGTGAGTTGATATCCTTCATCTACACGTGCGCTGAAACTGGGTTAGTTTGAAAGAAGTGTCCATATTTGTCACTGATGGTAGTGCTAATGTTAGCAGCACAGCTATCACAAGCACCACTGTGTTAATTTGTATAATGTCATGGTAATGCTAGCCTTCTTCCTTTTATATATACACATGCTAAATAAAGGGTTTGGAAACACTTTTGCTTTTTGTCCCACCTCTGGTATATCTTTAACCTAATTTCAGCCACTCCTTCAAACTAACAGCAAAATGGGCGATCTACTTCCGCTGCATGTTTCCGTTTTGTTATCGCATGTTCACACTGGAAATGTTTTTTACAGTCTTTACAAACTGACATGCTGACTCTTGTTTAAGTTTAAATTTGTAGTTAAGAAACAGACAAATGATTGAAAATGGTAAGAGGTGGGTTCTCCAATGTCTGACACCAAACCAACCACCTCACACCACCTTCCTAAAACGTAGCATAATTTCTTTTTTTTCATTCTTAATTCATTAATTTCTTCTTCATCCATTAGTAACTATCAGCGCAGCCTAGTTGCAAAAAGACAAATTTTCTTAAATTTGCAGACAGAGCAGTGCCTTCAAGGATCAACTCAGTTTCAGATCAGTTTGCTGTTACTGTACGATTCCAAGAGTTCAATGACTCACTCTTGGTGCTGGATACTGCAAAATATCGCCTCACAAAATCATCAATTATGAGGCAGCTTTCTATCTGTCCTGCTTTAGTTGTTGTAGCGCTTCTATAGTCATCTTAAAGAATTCAGAAGTATATTCTCATGTCATATGATGTTGGTTTTACTGTGTAGCTTTCAATCCTATTTTAAGCCCTGTGTTACAATATTTTTTTAACTAAGTTTTGTTATTGTCGATCTTGAAAGAACATTTAACAATGTCATATTAATAAGATAAAAGTGTTATGTCACTATTAACATTATAACCGGTTAATACCCAACTACAGTCACTGTCTACTCCTTAGATTAAAATGGACTTTTCATTTAAGTAGCAGCAGTAACCACACTGGTTTGCAATTACATCATTCTAATTTAATTTTACTAACGTTGCAGATGCAATTTAAACTTCATCTTGTAGTTTAAGTTGTGGGCTTTTCAATGACAGCAGTGCTGTGTGAAGCACTTTACAGTACCTTGAGTAACCCCAGTGGAAGATGAAGCACTGACCCTGCCATTGTGAGTGACTCATACCATCAATCAGCTGTTTAAACAACTGAAGTTAGAGTATGATTCATTTCGCCTCACCTCAGAGAACAGCACGCCTACTGAAGATAATGATACCTCATGTCTCATACAACCACAGGTCTATAAACATGTGTAGAGAAGTTAACAGTTGTCTGTTATACCTGACCACCTTGTCTGCTGTACAGGACAAGGTTTGGTTTGAATCGGGAGAACTGGCAGCTGTGTTTCTCCTTGCTAGCTTGCTCGGTGGTTTGTTACAGTAATCTAGGAACCATTTGATATTTGATTCTTGGGGAATGACACCAACTTTAGATGATGTGAACATTTTAAACATATTTTATGGCCTTTGATCTCCATTTATGTTATCAACTTAATTGTTGTTTTAAATGTGTTTTCCAGATACCACCTGCTACCTGAATGTAGTGAACAGAACAAAATAATGCTAACCATTAGGGCTAACCTTGTTTTGTGTATACTTTATAACAATGTGACAGTGAGGCGCGCACAGAAACCATCATTATTATGCAGCACTGTTGATGTTTTTGTGTTTCTGTTTCAGATTTTTGTTGAATGCATACTTTAAAAAAAATAAACATTTTTTTTTTACCCCTTAACATTTTTAGATAAACTTTTCCCTCACATGGGCCAACATCTTTTTAATTGTTTCTTTCTAGTGATAGTCCCAGTTCTATAAAAGGCTTTGTATATGAAAATGTGTTCTTCTGCAAGGTTAAAAATTGCTGTGTTCAGACTGAAGTGGGAAGTTGCACCTAAAGTCGAACTTCTCACTTGGAAAATCAGCAAAGCCCCACCAATCCCAACTTTGTCACCCACGATGGCAGCAGTGGACGCAAATGGTAGTAAAACTGTAACATTTGTGATCTGTACTACTGTGTTTGTGTGCTTGTGATTCACTGCACACAGACCACTGACCATGCTCTATCTGTGAATGTGCATCAGTGGTGTTTTAAACTGTGGAAACAATAACAAAAAGACAGGTATTGTGTTGTATTGTTAGTGTTGTATGAATGGTTCTATCTGCTAGGGAGCATAAAACATGTGTTTCCTTGCTTCTCTGGCTAATACTACTGCAGTACAGTGAACATGGGAATGACGTCATTCCCAGTTCTGACTTGTGAAGTAAAAGACACACAACATAAAGATGACATTTATCCAACTGCACCATCTTCTTGGACAAAATAGTACAGGATGAAAGTACAGCCTGGCCCGTGTTTAACTTCAGATGATATTGCTTGAACACAGTATTAATGTTTTGGACATGTAAAGCCATAGCAGCTGTTTCATCGCATTCTGGTAGGTTTAATTCATTTTGGAAAGTTTCACAATAAACTTTTTTAAGCACAGAAATTTACAATAAGTGTCTTTCTTCAGATGAGGAAAACATTCTTCTAGGCTATATGTCAGAAGGGAATTTCATTACATCCACAAGTGTTCCTGGAACTTCAATCTCTTATATGGAGTAGGAAATGTACTTTGGAAGTTGTGCCAGAAATTTTCTTCGTCCACTATTCCAAAGCATACATGAGGTACAGAAGGGTGGGGGTGGTTGCGACCGTACTCCATAATTGGTCAGATACTGAACTGGTGAAACAAATTTGTGACAGCCTCCTAAACTAGTACAATGTTGCTAACTTAGAAACTGTTTTATTTCTCTCTGTGACACCTGCAGGGACATGCTAACTCAGAGAAGGCTGGTATTTATGTCAGGCAGCTTTAGAATGAATTTTCTTATCTTTCTATCTAAAAGTGTGTTTACCTATTTTCAGATATTTTATTCTCAGTGTTGCACTTGAGCCCCACATAGATCCATTTTAATATTATAGAACAACTGAATTCATAATTTATCCATGGAACTTGAAAGTTTGTCATTTGGTTTTTTATTAGCTTTTTGTTTTTTGAAAAGGACTTTCTATCACTGTTGTGATAAGTCTTACACGGATTATTTTTTTATTATACTAACATGAAGTGAGTTCTTGGGGCTGGATGGACATGCTGAGACAAACTTGGTTCCATTAGAGCCTCCAGTTAGAAATTAAAGCCTTTCTGATTTGTGCCTTCTAAGGGAGAAACCACAAATTCTGGCTGCGCTTTCTCTCAGCCTGCAGAGAAAATATGTCTCTCACACGGAAATATTAATTTTCTGGAATTCTGAGTGGTGCAGATTTCAGGTTGTAGAGTTCACGTTGTCACCTCAGTTTTAATTTAAATCGACCACTTCTCTTACGGCTTATCAACCAAAATTACACCCAATTTAATGCCAATTTGAGTTTCCATTAGAACCACCCACATTGCTAACTCTATCTATCACTGGGACCTAATGAGTAACTGAAAACACCAAAAAATCACCATCCTAAATGTTTCGTGCCTTGAGCGCTTGCAAATTGTAGCCATGGAATTTTCCATCGCTACTTCGCATCCTACACACTGCAAGAGCTAATACAAACTCTTTGCCATCAAGAAGATGAATAATTCATGTTGTAGAGATTAACATGAACTTATTTCTACAAATTTGCCGTTTTACGTTTGTAAAATATTCTGATGCCGTGTCAAATTAAAACTCATCATTAAAACGGACATATTTGCAAAGAAGCTTAACCGTAAAAGACAAAATGCAGACTTCAAATAACATTTTCTCTACATTTTTACCTTTTTCCCTCACAACGGCACGCGCACGCACGTTATCCACAGGTAAGTCAGGAGAAAGAGCGAGACCCAATAAGAAGTGCTGCAGTCTGCTGGAACAGTATCACAGGATGGGTTCCCCAAGAAGCAGCCAAGAGTTCTTTAGAGCACATACACATAAACACACAAATGTGTGCACACATCCCCTCCCTCTCTGACACACGCACACATACAGTCACACGATCGCATCTACCTCACACACTTTGCTTCCCCGCCTCCCCTTTTTTCTCTCCTCCACGCGCCGAAGCCAAGCGGCTTTACTGTGCTTTTCACCAGACTGTATTCAGACTGTACAATTTTACAGCGCGCTCCTTCCAAGTGCACCACGGTAATCACGGTACAGTAACATTCCTGCACTAACTGGCGAGGAATCAGCCGTGCAAACACGCTCATCAGCAGCTGTCAACAGAACACATCTTCCCTCCTCAACCTGAGGTGAGCACAAAGATCACTCTCTTATACAACATCCTTGGCTTTTTTTTAGCGGAATAAAAATGTTTCACCAAGACAGTCATGGGCATGAGCATGATCTGTCATCCATGTAGCCGAAACTAAAGTCCTGACGAGCGCATCCAAAGACACGGGGGTCGCTGAGGCGAACCCAAAAAGTGTGAGCGGCTTTAAAACAGATGCGAAAATGAGGTGGTTTGAGTGGCGTGAAAGAAATGAGAGATACATGAATAAAATGAAGGCGCGGTTTGAAAAGACAGCAGAAGCTGAAGCTACTCACCCTGCAGAGATGAGAGCTGGTCGGACGGTGCAGCCGAGATCTGTGCGCACTGGGAAGCCTGGGTACCAAACTGGCAGGTTCCCCCTTATCTCGGTCTCTCTCTTCACTGCTCTCGGTACGCACACGCTCTGCCTCTCTATCCCGTGTTTCCCCGAATCTCCCCACTTCTCCTCTCTGTGCTGCCCCCTCTCTCACTCCTCCCCCTTCTTCTCCGTCTTTACTTCACTCTGCTCTTCAGCACTGCGGAGAATCGCTTGAATTGGCTTCACTGTAGTTCGGGTATAGGGAGGTGGGACTGGTGTGTGTGTGTGTGTGAAGGGTGTTGGTGTTGGTGGGGTTACAGTGATGTAGGCTGGAGGGAGAATGAGGCTCACGCGAACACGCACAAAAGGCAGCATGGCCCAGGAGCGCGCGGGCTGGGATTGAGGACACATTATGTACACTGAAAACAGAAATTCAAACATACACCAACAATTAATGGCCATGAACAAAACAGCCAAACATACCGTGGGCCTGCATTAATCGTGTCTGCATAATAACAAATGAAAATGAGTGATTAATGCCACATGGAACCTACATGGTTCTCTTCAGGAATAGTTTTAGTTTAGTAAAAATCAAAAAGGTCATTATCTTGGAAAACATCAAGTTAGCTGAACCATGAAAACACTTACATTGAAATAAATGCCTGAATATTGGGGCCAGTATTCCCCGATGCCTGCTGGCTGCTATTACAAGATAGTTTTATACAAACAGACAAACAAACAAAAACAATCAGCATCAGATCATCATTTGGCAGCACACTTGTATCATGACTCATAAGCGCAGCCAGTTTTGCATTGTGTAATTAATGAAGCACCAAAACATCTCAAAATGCCCATGTAGCTTAGCCCCTTAATTGGCCATATTTGAGAGGGTAAAGCCCTATGTTGCCAGCTAGCAAAATCCATCTAACATGTGCAGGTACATGCTATTAGTCCTAAGCAATATGCAAATAAAATAATTTGCTTCAACAACTGCACAGTGTCATCGGCATAGTAGTGAAAGTCAATAACAGATTGAATAGATGGTCTGTAAATGCAATTAATCTCACAGTAAGGCAAAATTAGTTGTCAGA